GAATAATAATTGATTTCAGACAACGTTTAGATATTATAAGAAATACAGTCCCGCTTGGTACTACATTTAATAATTTCTTCACTGATTTATTCTTTTTTCTCTTGAAGCAACACACGGTGCGAGTTAACAGTCGACTACATCGAGATGGTGGAGCCGCGAAGGTAACGCAGTTTTCTACTTTCTTAGCATCTCCTGTAACTGGCGCCATCACAGCATGACAAAAATCTTGTTTGTCGTTTTGTCTGACAGAGTGTGCACGTTTACTCGAAGTGTGTCTATATCGATAACCTTTTGAATTCTTTTCTCGCCAACTTTGATTTGCATTCTGTTTCTCTCTTTTCTCCGGAAGATGAAATAGCGTTCGTTATAGACACACTTTCCGTTTTGTTTGTAAGTACAGCACATTTCATCTATGTGCACAGTCATGCATGTATCAGTTATTTTACTTTAGAAACCGATGTGATCCTGTAAAGCTCGTAGATATTCTTCGTTGTTTCGCGTTAAATCATTAATTGTTCAAGGTAGAAATTTGAGGAAACGATACGTAATCGATTAGAACTGATAGCTCGCAGCTAAATATTTAAACCTCCCCGTAGGATAACGAGGTCAAATACATTCTCGATACCATGTAGATTTAAATAAGATTTGCACTGTATTTACACATTTCCAGTAAGACTTACTAACTACCATTAATAGTGAAAGGGTTAAATTGTGACAGTGATGTCTGTTAACGAGTTGCATGGCGAATATTCAGCTTCGATCGATTCATCAAACATTCTAAACAGTGAATTTTTCATAAGAGGCGTATGTTGAAAAAGAAACTAGCTTTCGTTTCAGCATGTCGCGACTGAACCTTGAGCCTTAGAAAGAACTTTCTCGCCGGTGTAAGTACATTCGAATGTCCAGATTGAAGCTGTAAAATTTCGAATATTTCAACTATTCGAAGGACATTTTTCAGAAAAAATTCTTTGAATATTCAAGATTGTCATTTACATTTTCAAAATAGTAACATCATCGAAGACAGTAATAATAGATCTGTTCCCGATGAGTAAGCAAAATTTCTATGCAATCTACTCGTTTCTCGTACTAGTTGATTGCTAGTATGCAAATTTTTATGCACCTACGAAACAAGAAAATTCACAAATCATACTCGAACGGTCATTTGTATGCGAATATTTTTGAAGAAAATTTAGAGCACAAAACTTGTTCCCGCACTTATCGCTGAAAAGATAGCAGTAGTGTCTTTCGATAAATGAAACCTAAAATAAAAAGAACGTTAGCAATGTTACCCTTGTGACGCACTTACGATTCGTACAAGATCTTTGGTCACCGCGCTCGGCGCCACTTATTCTTGAATTAAACAAGGCCAGTGATATCGTGAGCGTTGACAAATTTTCTCAAAGAGTATACCTTGTTTGCTACTGATAATCGATGCAAAGTAACAATTGTCTCTTCCGAAAATATTGTGACAATTTACCGTGTACACAATGTTATATTTAATTAAACAGTTCCTATTGAAATATCATTGACCTTTGGTATCTAAATATCAGATAGACACGTGATTAAAAGTGCTATTCACCTACGAACATGATAAACGCTTCCGTGGATATATCGTAGATGTCTCCATAATAGTGAGGATGTTACAGTAGCCTAATAAGAAGCACTGCATCGAAAACGCGAGTGTGAAAATCGAAACCGAGGACGTTGTACGATTAACAAGTTGTTTTCAAAGTGTATCGCGTGTTTTGAACGAAGACCAGATAAGGGTGGACGTGATTGATCGCTCGCGAAGAATGAAATCCAGAAATCGATCAGAATGATGGCGATGACGATGGCGATGAACGAGTAGAGCGGATCGTTTCGTGTCTGTAACGTTGGGTTATCGGAGGTTTCTTCTTATCGCTGGAAATTTTTCTTTTCCTTCTTTCTTCGGCTATACACCGCTGATGGATCGAAATGTACATACTGGCTGTCAGAGCATTTCAGTATAGTGGTGATCGGTATATAGTGATGCAACGTGGTGGAAGTATCCTCAGTAGGGCGGTTTTGCTCAAGAGAAATTCAAACGTCAGTAAGATTATCAGGTACAGTGAGATAGCGTACAACGCGTGTTTTGTGTATCGTTGATCGCGGAATTTGTAACGCGAAATATTTCCTGATAAAATTCAACGTCCAATTATCGTCATAACAAACTGCCGTTTGTAATAGAAAGCGGTTAGTGCATTGCAACTTTCGAGATGAGATATTAATATCTTGTACTATGGTTTATTTTAAAGCTACATTTGTAGCTACTGATCATAGTCGCGGAATAAAAGTAGCGATAACACTGTTTATAGTCGGATCTGCATTTCCAGTTTCCGTCTACTCAGCAGTAAACATCTTTTATGCACAGTGCAGCGAATTTTCTCGTTTTACGTTGCGGAATTTAAGCTACTTGAATCAAAATTTACGTTGACTTCTGACAAGATAAAGACCGTGTTAATTTATGTACAATTATTTCTTTATTTTTAACTTAAAGATACATATTTTAGTGTGAAATGGCCGAAATACGAATTTGCTGCTTCAATTATGATAGCAGCTAATTTACTAGTATCTTTTTTTATTCTATCAGCAATTAGGCATTCTAGCACAAGGTAATATGAACGAAGGTAACCTGTACTTACTAAATCGATCGGTTTTACTGCTTCCAAAAGATACAGTTTCATTAGATTGTTTAGAAAATAGTATTTGTTCGATTAAATCGATAGAATTAATTTTTCGAAACAAAAAAAAGTCTGCACTGCCCGGGAATCGAACCCGGGTCGCAAGAATGGGAATCTTGCATGATACCACTACACCAGCAGTGCTGCTTGCACATTTTACTTTACGTTTGGTAATATAAGCCTCGTGTACCTATAAATACACCCATTGTACTGTGTATATAAACATGGCTGATTCAAAATAACAATATTAATATTAACAAGAGCTATTCGTACATTCGCTGTATCGTACACAAAAGGAAAATCTCTCGCGTTTTCCTCTACTAAATAAATAATGCATTTTTATAGAAAATTCGACAATTTTTCAGCAATATACAAAAGCTCATGCATGCGTATAATAAATTGATAGTACATAATAGATAAATGATGCGTTTGTCTATTTCTTCGACGTTACGAAAGTGATTACACGTTAATGTTTTGTATGCATCGAAATGATTTAGGAAAAACTGTACCATATATCATACTAGCTATTACACCATCATCGTACGTAATAGTACTTTCTATCCGATCCTTTAAGACGCGTTTCCTATGACACACTTTCACATTACTTTGAACCAATGTCATCTGTTACACATTTGTATAATTTTCCACTTTCCAGTTTTGCCATTGCAATTGAATGGGAGAAACGTGATATTCGGTAGCAAACGTACATTTTATTTTCAACCGTGAGTACCAGATTCCCGGTTTCTATCGTGCAAAACGCGTTTACAGAAGGACACAGCCTCGTCGTCAACCGCAACATCGTCCTTAAACCACACGCTTTATAGGCGTTTATGGGAAAGTGTCTCATTTCATGGAACGCATAGTACAAGTTTCTCCATGCATTTTATTACCATGCGTTAGGTTTCGCGTTGTATCGCCACTGACGCGCGTGAAAGTCCATTTAAAAGCAGCAGTGTAGCAAGAGTCTAAATCTTATAGCCAATGCGAACAATTTTTTGCTCCTGTCAGTGGCAATATAACGAGCGTCTACTGTACGCACATAACTGTACGGCCCTGGACAGGCGCCTGTTTCACCGCGGGATATTTCGGTTTGCTCGTCGTTTCATCGGTTTTGCAACCGAATGCCGGCGGCCGCAATAAATTTTGATCACTTTCATACCATAATTGCATTACGTGCAACTGGTTTACAGTTATGCCTTACGACCTGCTCGTTATATATACACTTCTCGCAGAATGTATCACTGTTTATTATGCAATCGAAGAGGCGTCGAGTTGTGTTTGGGAAAAATACATAAATAATTCTTTTTCGATGAAAGAGCCATTGGTGTACCGTTCACCAACGACGGGAAACTTGGAGTTCTGTGAAAGAACGCGTACGGGAAAAGGAAATGAAAAGCTTCGATAAAATCTAACTTGCCCGTGTGGATAATAAGGAAAGTGGAAACATTATCGGCAAAGAATGAAATGTCCCGGAAGAATAGAAATGGGTCAAGCCCGATATCGTTTGATATGCCGTTAGAGCAGTTGTAAGGTTTCTTTGCAAACGAACCAGTTAATCGTTCGTTCGCCTTTCATTGTCGCTTTCACCGATTAAGAGTTTGCTGCATAGGGCGACGACTTCCATTAACAATGAAAACAGGCGTCCACTTCTTTCCTCGAACAAGAGAAATACAAAGACTAAGCTAACGTGTCTTGCGATGTGAAGTCGATTTATAAAAGTGTAATTTTAACACTTTTGCAAACGAATGGGGGTCTAAAAGGCACTTGACACTTTAATAAAGTTTGAACCGTACACTCAATAAGGGATAAGAACGCATATAGAATGCGTGAATTTTCCAACGTAACAGCGAGTGAGATTTCCAAGTTGCAAAAATATTTAAACGACACAACGAGGCAAAGCGTGTTTGCGGTCACGGTTGAACACTTTCATCATCGCTTCCTCGACACTTTTTCTTTTTTTTATGGGGCCAAGCGTGAGATAGTAGACGGGGACTGGTGGGGAGAGGCGTGAGTTAGAAAGCCCTAAGTGCCTTTCAGAGGCTGCAGCCGGTAAAATCGTTCCTCAGTGAACTCTGAGCGGTCGTCGATCGCGGTTCTCTCGTCGTTTCGTGTCCATCGAGGACTTCGAATCCCCAACGTCTCGTTTTCGTGACTTTTCGCGATCATTTTCCACCCAAAAGAAAGTTTTTCTCCCTCCTCGTCCCCATGGGCGAACTTTATTCCGACTCGATTCCAAATTTTATACTTTAATTCGTGACTCGGTACTTTTTAACTAAAATTTCGTCCTTGTAAGTATGCTTTCTCTTTTTAAAAATAATTCGAATCGCTTAAACACGTACAATTGTTAAATTATTGTCCTACTTTTCGTGGAAGACAAAGTAATAAATTTCTAGCTGTAATCGGGGTGATTTTATGTGACGATGGCGGAGCGAACTGGAACGATAACGGGATATTGTTAGCATCGGATTCGACTGTTCTAGTTACCTTTCTTTTTTGCTTAATAATATTGACATCGAAAATGCGTTTACCATACGCTTCAAAAACTAGCAAGGAGTTTACATAATCCATAAATGTTTTACGAACTTCACGCTCATTGTCGGCCGATAAGATAAAGTGCAAAGGGGCAACGATATACTGCTTCGTTTGTCACGAAGTGAAATTCTCAAAGTCTGCGAAAAGTGGGTCACAAACTCGCGCTGAAGTCAAACGGAATTAATACGAATAGAGCATTACGAAGCAATTTCCACGACTCAACGACGGAAAGAGAAATTCGCGAACGATAATTGTAATTTTCGTTAATGTCAAAAGCGTTCCAGTAAACCCGTTTACCGCGCGTAATAAGGTGTATCGCGAATGTTGTACGGATTACGCAGCACTTTCTACATTTCATTCGTACCTACTTTTCGAAACGCTTTTCCTTTTCTCTGTGTCGTACACGAGCTAGAAATTTATTATTTCCCCTCGCGCGAAAGAGGAAAAGAAAGCGCGCGCGTCTCTCGGGGCGTTTGAAAATGCCGCGCGAAGATAACGCGTCACGTGATCGTCAGCTGATTCGGATTAGCGAAATCGAGGTGGTGTCGTACGTTTTCTATCAAAATTTTTCAAACAAAGTTCGAACCGGGACGCAATATACCAATTAAAAAAATAGAGATTCCAAAAGAGAAATTTTGTCGATCGCTTTTAGTGTCGGAACATGTGCGCGTGTTTATCGATAGTTCGTTGTATCGAACACGTGTTGCATCCAGACTGCTCGCAGCTGTAGCAGTTGCGTACAACGACGTAAACGAACGTTCAAAAATGCGTAATAACGTGGACGAACGCACGGGAAGCTGTTGACAGAATTCAAAGAGGGAGAATGATTATGGGAGAATGGAAATGACGAGGGAAAAGCCACGACGACGAAGCGTGAGCGAAATGCTCGACTGGCGATGCATCGTCAGGAATAAAGGAAATGCAGCTGTAGACGATGCCTGCACGGATGTCCCTTTCCTCGAGGATTACGACACAGATCCGGAAATGCGTCGACGGAAACGTTCCGGCACATGGCCGTGAGTAAACGAATTCAACAGCAGTTTTAAAAAACAGAATACTTGATGCAACAGGCGATTTTATTCAACTATACAGTTGCTTCTAAAATTCGAACGCTGTTCATAGCTCTTTCTAATTTTCCTAGCACCAGTCCTGTAAGTCAGGAAAACTTTTTTCAATAGGTTATTAAATATTCTTGACCAGCAAAGGCCAAGAGACACGGTCAATAAGTATATTTGTCTGGTAGGAACTTCTAGTGTACACGGATTGTTTACATCAGAGAAAGTGAGTAGGTTATTTTGTTCGGGAAAGGTGGACAATTTTCCAGGTGGTTAACTACTTATATTAATTACGGTTTTAATACCGCTTATAAAATTATGTAGATCTATTGAGAAAGTTACTAGACTTTCTCGGTAGAATTAGAATACGATTTGCAACTTGTGTAATAGCATACACTAGCAACAGAAAAAAGCAGAAGTCAAGCACCGCTTAAACACGATCAAGCTAAATAACAGGTTGATGACTCATGATAAAATCAGGATTAGAACCTGTAGTACTAACCGGAGAAGCTCGAGGTTGATCCTGAGAACCAGGAAATATTTTCTCCGCAGGATATGACTCGTATCGAAGTTACAAAACCGAAAAAAGAAAGTAAATTAGTGGACGCGTGTTTTGAAACAGAGGAAATGAAGCAATGAAGCGCGATAATGAGGATTCGCTTGGAAAGACACGAAAGGCAAATAGTATGAGACGAAAGCAGTACATATGGTCGTTCAATTTCGTAATTAAACTGGAACCGCGTAATCTGATTCCAATTCATGCGAAACAGGAGCGAAGTCGTTTGCTTACTCAACACCTACTACCTCGAGGACACCTTTACGCGCCTAACAAACCGACAATCATTGTTTTAAATACTTTGAAAAACATACAAACTTCTTAATGACGTAATCAAACATTTCCGATTTATCGAGATTTTCGTATGAAAAGTAACAATTATATTTTATTTTCGTTGAAATTTTGTCGCATATGTGAGCCTGTCGAAGGCCTCTGAAGGTCCAAGAATCGATTCTTGACAGAATAATTGATTAAATAATTTGGATGCTTTCTGTGATCCAATTTGTATAAACAATAGGCGCCTCTATAATTAATTCATAAGGATATTTGATTAATTCGGTCTTGTCTCGCCAGTGTCGCGTCCAAAATCGCAAGTTGCGTAAAAGAAACTTAAATAAAATCAGTAAAAAATAGATGCCGACACGCACTCGAGCGAAATCGATTGGTCGTCGATGTCAGAGCATGCGTGCAGTGCCCGTTGGGCGTCGGGATGCTAATGTCGTGTCCCGCCCAGACTGCTCCCAAAATTCAGCCTACGATTCCTCGATATCGAGCTGTTCTGTTCGTTCTAACACGCTCCGATTGTCGTGTATCACTCTTTTTATGTTTTATCGAAGAAAGACTCGCGATAACGCGTACGTTCAGTGAAGTGGTTTACATGGATGAAGCCGAATTAAGGTAGGACACGTGTTGGTTAACCTCAATCTTTGATCGTGAACGCGGGTTACGATACTGCACCGCTGTTTACACGGTGCATTATTTATGTAACGCGTTGGTGAAGCGGCTGTGAAAGTGTGAAACGTTTTATTTATAGACATATTGGTCACGGTGCTTCAAAATTCGTAATATTGCAGCAAAGTGTTGCTATCGTATATGAAGCTGACATCCTGGATCTCGTTAGGTTAAATTTGATTGTATGTTAAGCACCGTTGATCAAAAATATGCTCATGGTGAAGTGATTTGCAAGTGTTCGGTAGTGGGGATTCTTGATTTGCTCAAAATAGTACTGTTTGATTTGTTATTCAAATTGGCAACTCTCGTAAAAAGAGCAAGCGATTTATAGACCTTTCATTCTCGGGTTCAAAGTATAATATATGGTAACGTATACGCTTCTAGCGAGCATTAATCCAGGAATTTTTTATACTTCTAAGATTAAGTTTCGGGTTACATTCAAAGCACTTTAATGAGCAGTGTCAGTTCGCGATTTCAAAGTTTTTGCAAAATTACTTGCTAATTATTATATTTGCATTACTAAGAAATCTTGTAGCGATCAATTTTCTAAGAAAATTGCAAAGGACGTATTTCCATCTCTAACGTACTCGAAAAGTTATATAAATTGAATGTAGTTATTTTGACAAAATTCTGACTCGCGATGAGTCATACTTTGAAAATGTGGACTTTTGAATTATCTGAGAGGCTCGCGTAACCGAGAGAGTTAGCAATATTGAATTTGTCGTAGGTTATGCTCCGCAGGATTCGAGGAGACTCTATAATGGCAGGAAGCGAATGACGTTTTAGGTCGATGGTAGACTGGTTGAACGTTCATATGTTCATACACGCACACGGGTCACGCTAGCCGGCTATTTACCTGTGCACGTGTACAAAGAGGCCGGTACCTGTTCGAATCGCGAACGTTACGGTGGGAGTTGTTTTTTGTTGTTCCTTTCTTCGAGAGCGAGAACGCGTTCACCTTTCGCTGGTACATTCCATTTTACCCGGTTGTTGCACGGAACACCCGATGGGCCCATGGGTTCCCCTGGGTTTCGCCGATGGCGCCCCCGTATTGCCGTTATACACAGGTTCGCTGGAATTTCAGAAATTCGCCTCGATGCAATCGATTGCCGAACCGGACGTACCCGCCGGTTCGTTCTCTCCTTAACGGACGTTCGATGGTGCAACGGAGAAAGAAAATCGAGCAACAAATTCTTTTTCCTTTCTTTTTCCCAACCGTTTGCTTAAGGGGCTCGAATCACCGTTTAAGGGATACTACTTTGCATGGAAAAGACGTCGAGATATCTTTTCATAAAATCTTTTTCCCTCTCTTTCTTCGGATTTCTCAATCGATCGAGAGAAAGTCGTCGGATAGTTGGTTCGAGTGAAATCAAAAGAAAAAGTTACCTAACGATTTCGGGAGGATTATCAAACACTTCTTTCTACGGGCTGCTGAAAAATCTTCTCACCTAATTTTAAAAATATGCCATGTGCTATATTCATTTTTACATTTGTCAACATTTACATTCACAAAAAGTATCTAAACGGTTAAGAAGATTACGTTTCTAAATTTGATCCTCGTATTGTAAGATATCTCCATATCTAATCGCTATTATTTTTCCGAACTTTCTCAACAGCGTGCGTATTTGACGAGTCATTTTGTCCTTGAAACAGTTAAAAGGAAGAGGACCAACAATCAGCTCGACAAGATATGATATAATCGTAGGCGGTTACATAATATATATCGGAGTTAGCGTCGACAAGAACCCATGTACTTCACGGCATACCGACGTATCCGTAGGAAGAATCCCATAATCGTCGGCTACCTGAGGTCTGTTCTTCATTCTGCGTGCAGCCACCTTGCGATTCGGTCCTTTCTAAAGGCTTCTACTCTTGTCTCTCGCGTAACGTGTCCATTTTAGTGGGACACTTGAAATCCGTGCAAGGTTTCATCCATATAAGGAGCGTTTATTTATCTAATTCGATAAACGGTCAGCAGTAGAAGTGGAGTGAACGTGTATACCGTGCGTGATAGTGAGTTTCTTTGGTGTTGAACGTGCGAGAATATCGAGAGAAAACTAATTGCACAGTATAATCATCGTCGTTGAGGTCGAGCGTTGGTTTGTTTCAAGATTAACATGAATAATTCATAAACGATATAAGCTCGTGCATTCTTTCAAGTAGGAAGCAAGGTTCAAGGTTAATGAATTACTGCTCCAAATCTCCTATTGTTGATAAATACCATCGTTTTAGTGTCAACGTTTGACATTAGAAAGTGCGAAAATAATTTGATGTTACATGTGCCTCCGAGAGTCAAACTGAATTAACATTTTTTACATATTCCGATGCCATTGAATTCTAATACCGAACGATTATTCGTCGCAAGCTGAAAGTAGCAAATTTTTAAATGAATTACGCTGTAGGAATCCTGGATTGGAATAGTGCAAAATATCGAAACACCAGTGACGAAAAGAAGAGTTAAGGAGAAATTGAATCCTTGTTCGATATCAGAAATTCAAATCACGCAACTTTTGAGTTAGGAGTAAGAACTTTGTAGCTATAAAATATTAACGTGTCAAAGAAGCGATGAAAAAGCGGACAGTGAGTGAATTGCAGTGCAAAGTTGCAATCACGTGCCCTTGGAAGCGAATCTAACCATTTCTGAGAAGTTACGTTAGTAGGAAGGACATCGTTAATTTCACATTAAAATAGACCTTCGAATTTTAATGATCAGTTCCGTACAAAAGAAGAGACGCGTTCTACAATCTTTTGAAAATCCTCCAAGTGCTTGTAGCCACTAGGAAAAAACTTTGCTATCGTTGTATTCTTGCCTCTTGAAATGGTTGCAATTTGTTCGATTAAGTGATATAAGAGCTCTACAAGTATTACGTATCAAACAAAAGCCTCCTGTTGCAATTTGACATCGAAATTCGAAATAGGGAACAAATACTTCGTTGCGATTCTCTTCAACATGAAAATTACAAACAACTGATTGCTATTCGATTTCAAGATTGAAAGCAACGATTATAAAAAGATGGACCAAGTATCGCCTTTGCTGGAAGTCACGACCAATGGCCACGTCGATATTAATCGAGATATCCTCAAGAATGGATACAACAAAATGTCGATGGATAATATTCCACGGAACAGAGTACTCAGGTAGAAAATTTTCTTTCGATCAAGAAAAAATACGAATAGAAAAAATTAATCGTTTGCGCGAATTTTTTCAAGCAATTCTGAAATCGTACGGACAATCAGGATAATCAGCTGTCCTGAAATTATTGGTATTTCAATTTTTGTTTATCATGTTTTACGTCAGAGACACCAATGACTTTGCGAATGTGTGCACTTTGTATTCAGTCTAACGCGTACCGAGTTGTACTCGCTCCGTTTAATGACGCTCAATGAATGACTTTCCCAGTCAAATGTATACAGTTCCCATGCATCAAGACCAACGATCACGTGCAATCATTTTAAACACGTAATCATGTTTCTTATCAAAGGAATTCGTACACTTTTTCTGAAGCCCAAACGACACCGGCGCAGAATGATTTATATCGTAATTTAATTACGGTTGCAGCGGCCACTTTGTGCGATACCGACGTAATCACTGTTATGGCGCGTTGCAAATTAATTTGCACGCACCGGCTGCAACGTCGCTAAACGCATTGTCCGCTGACTATTATATTCCGCAAAGCTTATTCTATTTTTACAATAACTCGAATCTTGTTTACTGGAAATACAAGAGGGACGCACTAATATTACGATAAAAAAAGTTCCAGTTTTTTACTGTTCCAAATCCTGTTACGCTTTCGATGTTTAACCTTAGAGAAAATATTAGAAATTTTCGCAAGTCTATTTGACATATTCGCTATCGATGTTATTAATGTCATTAGGTAATGAAATACGTATTCGTATTCGTCCACGTTCAAATGACGCCTAATAATAGTGTTCTTGCTTTTAAATATTCGTCGAGATTTGACTTTTGGTCGGTAACTAACGTCACAAGCATTTATTTTCATTTAATATACGTGTTGAAGTGTAAAGGTAATTTCTGTGTACGTCATGCAACGCAAGAAAATAAATGCACATATTTTAATTATTTTCTCGGCACATGTCAATCGCTGATTCATCTAAGTTATTCCACCTTCGATCCTTTAAGATTTTTCTGCCAATTCGCTAATAAATTTCGATTCGTGAGCAAAACTTATTTATCTAATTTATCGTAATAAAATCTAATAATTTAATTTGTTCACAGGCGAACAAGAAGTTTGAACGCACCTAGTCCAATACAACAATTCGGGCCATGCGGACGCATCATGAAAAATTCCGCGATGGTCATGTGAGTATAAACCGCAATTTTCTTCTCTCAAGTTTCATCTAATTCCGAATGGTTTCTAAGTTTAGTAGCGGCTAGTTGCACGTCGGTAGAAAGTTACGTCGAATCGTTACGGAATCTTAGGTTTTTTCCTGCTTTAATTAGACAGTCAGTTTTCTTGGCGTAGCACAAACTCGGGTAACGAAGGAAAGCGTGTTATTTCGTAAAGAAAAAAGTATGCTACGCGCGAGTATGGCGTCTTGACCCAATTATCCGTGACAATGACTTCTTAAGTGAACCTAAGCGTTGTTTTGTCAGCGCGAAGTAGAAAGCGGTTCTATAAATCGTGCATTCAGCGGAACATTTCGGTGAAGTTGCGAAACACGACGGGAAATAAACGCGTGCATAGAAGATGGATATCTTGTTAGAATAAATGATGAATCCAGAAGTAATGACAGACCAGCTATTTGGAAGAGAATGACAGTCAATTACTGATACTGTCACATAAATAAAACCTACGTTTTTCGTGTTACATAATACAGGAAAACAAACTAATAACTTATCGCGAGAATAGTATCTTCATCTGTACGTAATAGTTATTTAAAAATATTATGGTTATTAATTTTCTAATTGTTATTTGCAAATAAGAGGACGTTAGAATATACTCATTAAAGATTTGAAATTAGATGAGCTACGTATGTACGCACGCGTAAACATTTAATACGAAACCGGTGCACGTGAGTCACTATTACGCGAATTGCTTCGCATAATTTATGCAAAGCTACGTGTTTTATACAAATGAATCTCGTGGCAGATCTTTCGTGTGCATTATGACTCGCGCGCTTGCGCGTCCGTCCGATTGTTTACCGTTAAAAAACGTAGTGCCGCGTTCGATTCACGTTCAGTACGAGTACGACGCTCAATCCGGTACCACGTCATGGTTGGAACAATCAGGTAAGTCATTTGGACGCTTTGATAACCGTGCATATCTTCAAATAAATCACCTACGATCGTACGCTTCTTCCAATTAGAAACAGCTTAACATTTCGATAAGAAAAATTAATCCGAAATTTAGAAAACAAAAATCGGCAAAATCGAAGAGGGAGAATTAAGGAATATTCACGGCTTAAAAATTAAAAATAGACATTTAAAATTTTCGAAAATTTTTATAAGGTACAGTGCATATTAGAGAAATTCAAAATGAAGAAAGTTAGAAGCGGAAATCTTTAAATAAGAACTACAGCATTTCCTGCGATTTATCCTGTGAAAAAGAACATGTAACTCGTGCAGTTCAACGTACTTTGTTGCAAAAGTGGCGATTCAATGGTAATCATCGATGAGAATGTACATCACTTTTTGATGTAACGTATTTCTTAAGTGTCGGAGCTAGTTTCCGAAAGTTTTAAGATAGCCAATTTGCCAAGACGCTAAAATATTTCTTAAAATAATTCATTCTTATCGGTATTACGATATTTCCTTACCGAATAAAAAATCACGTAACACATTATCGAGATAAACTCCTGCATTAATATCGATTACTAAAGAATGCACATTCTGATTAAAAATTAGCATAATCAATTCTTGATTCTCTGACTCATGTAACCTTAGCGACCCTTATTCAATGTTAACTTTCTTAATCGTTTACCTTTGTGCTTGAGTGGCGGTCAAGGGACACGCGTTATTGTCTACAATCTGATTAAGTATTTCAATTTAAAATAGCTATGAGTACCCCTGAACAGTTATGTTATTTTTTAACATCGATTCAGTTTACTCTTGGACACGAGAAGATTCCTATCAGTCGGAGTACACAGACTTTGTTTATTTCTCATCATTAATATTCATCAATTTAATGACGCATTTCGCGGCAATGCCAAAGGAAAAATTTCTCGATAATTTACTTGAAGTTTCGTACCAAATTCGGTAAAACCGAATGGGTTTTGATCCATCGTCAAACTTCGATTTAAGGAAATACATCTTTTTCCTTCTTATAGGACCATACAGGACCCAGCCTCTCAGAGGTTAACGTGGTACAAGCCGCCTCTCACTGTTCTCGTCATCAAGAAAGTCCGTGATTCGTCGGTTTTGCCACCGTTCGTTCAATTAGTCACATGGCTAATAGAAGTGAGTACTAATTATTTATTTATTTAATCAAAAATAATCACGTCATTACGAAATATTTATTACTTCGAGCTAAGTCGTAGAATGTTTGAAAATATATTCCTCTTTTGTAGTTCCGCAATTAAAATTGATCATTTTTCCCCTGCGACAAAATTCTGATAGCCGACTAGAAAGAATCGTGAAACTTGCAAAAAGACGCTAGTCCCCTGTGATACGAGAATAGCTTCTAGAATTCCCAGCTTTTTGAAAAGCTTCGTTCAGGTACTGGAAGCATCGTAGTTTAATGTAGCATAAGAAAAACCGAAAGAAAAATCGAGGAAAATTTTCTAGCATTTCTACCATCGATTTAATGCTTGAGAATTCTAATTGCTCGTATTTAATTAACCAACTTGATTTTAAATTCTAATTATCGGTACGGGCACAAGGAAATATCCTCTGAATAATTCGAATTGTATTATACTTTGATCGGCCAGATCATAGCCCGTAGTGTTTGTAATATTCATAATCGCCGCGATTATTTTTCAATCTATCGATTCGTATCACGTGACTTCGGAATGTTTTTTACGCATATTTTATCAACGATGACTCGACGTATCGTATTCTTTTTTGCTTACAAACGTAAACGTTACGTACCGTAGTTTTTTATTAAGTTCAACGGTCTAAATGTTCCCGTTCGATTATAGGAAAAACGGATGGTAGTATTTGTCGAAGCATCCGTCCTAGAGGATCCAGCTCTAGCTGGGAACTCCAGATTCCAAGAAGTTCGAGATAGGTTGCAGACCTTCAGGGACGGAACGGACGATCTTCAGGTAATTATTACTTTTCGTGTACTTTGTCTTGAATGGTCCAACAATTAAAAATTTCACGTTCGTTGCTACGGTCGATTAATTTTATTTTCCAGGATCGTATCGACTTCATCGTTTGTCTAGGCGGAGATGGAACTCTGTTGTACGCTAGTTTACTGTTCCAACAATCGGTGCCGCCTGTCATGGCGTTTCATCTTGGTTCCTTAGGATTCCTAACGCCCTTCGAGTTCGACAATTTTCAGGAGCAAGTGACAACCGTACTGGAAGGTGAGTAGTTTTCGCCAACGGTATAATACAACCGCGTCCTTCGAAAGTGTTATCCCCTTTCTTCCCGACGACAGTGCCATATTACAGCCAAACAGCGTGACTTATCGCACGACGGTTCTCTTTGAACGAGAGATTGAAGACGCGACTAATAACTCATGCCTGCCTTCACCATTTACCACTCATCGATTACAACTATATGTTTGCAATTCATTTTTAAAGTGTACGCATGTCATCTTCCATATTTTAGTTATTGAATCTGTACAGTTCCTGGTTAATTATAATATTTAACATTTGAAACGGAAACGATATTATCCGTTTAAAGTTCAAGTGATCTTTCGAGCACCCAATGTTTTCCGAATAAACGCTTACTCTGGGATTAACAAACTCACGATGACGTATGTAGAGGAAGATTTGCAAATTTCATCCACCCATTCATCTGCCAAACGAGCTAATTTTTAAGCAAAACCTATTTTGCTGAACGTACGTCCCAAACGGAGTTAAAATTACTCTTCGCTACCTTGCCCCTAACAAATAATCCTAATTTGTTCACAGTCCAATACAGGAAACTATTTCTCATCCTATCTCCTAAAAATCCAAATAAGCTAAAGACTTCTGACAAGGCGAAATCCTAAAATGTCCTCAAAATGTCCCACCAAGGACCCGAAGCCATGCCTCTTGTAAAGGTAGTGGTCTTCCAAGAGCGACGACAATGCTCTAAAAAAGGTCGGGGTTATAAATCTGACAAACGTTGGCCTTGTCTTCAGGTCACGCGGCCTTGACCCTGAGGAGTCGACTGAGATGTATCATCATGAGGAAAGGGGAGGAGAACAAAGACGCAAAACCGCCAACAAATCTGCTGGTGCTGAACGAGGTCGTGGTCGATCGAGGCCCGTCCCCGTACCTCTCGAATATCGACCTCTTCATCGACGGGAAACACGTGACCAGTGTACAGGGTGATGGCCTGATCGTGAGCACGCCAACAGGGTCCACAGCGTACGCGGTCGCGGCTGGAGCTAGCATGATTCATCCTTCGGTACCTGCCATCATGATCACACCGATCTGCCCTCACTCTTTGTCCTTCAGGCCGATTGTCGTGCCCGCCGGCGTCGAACTGAAGGTATTTCCGAATTTTTTCGCCGTACAAATGAATCGATACCTTTTACGGGCAACGCGACTCCCCATAAGGGACGCTCTTTACGGACTGACCGTAGGATAAAGTGAATCGCGTGAAAAATAGAATCGGCAAGTGTAGAAAGTTTTCGAGAAATTCTAAGACTTCTGTAGATTAATAATTGATCGAGGACGTAGAAGTCTATGAGACTGTAAAGTCTATGAATCTGTTAGCTGACTGTGAGAAATTTTTTACGACTTAGTAGAATCTTCGCGTATCGTTTATCGATAGACAGTAGGTCCTAGAATTTATCGAACGGTCCAACGATACAGCAGTTCCGTGTGGGTCAGTAGAAGCGCCTTATCACGACGGATCAGGATTTCTGGTTCGAGACGTTGCCCCATAGAAGGAAACTTGGTCTGGATGGATGTCGGCCGCATTCTCAGACCATGCGCCGTTCTTGGTTATTTAAAAAAAAAAAGAATGTGGAGTTTCGCGAAAATATTATTTTCCGCCCAAATGGTCGATCGAAAGTTTATTTCTTTTCCTTGTTGTCTATCGCAGATCTCTGTTTCGCCGGACAGCAGGAACACCTCGTGGGTGTCCTTCGATGGTAGAAACAGGCAGGAACTGTTCCACGGCGACAGGTAATTCATTCTCTGTCAGATTTGTCTAATTGTTTGCGTTTCTCGCGATTATTGCAGATCATGGCGAACAGCAATGCCCGCAGCACAGCTTACGTCTCCTTCGATGGTCGCAATCAGCAAGAGCTACGGGTTGGGGACAGGTCTGTCCTGATATTTCGTAAAAGACTTTGCTTTAGTCTTCTCTTATCTGTTTTCACCGCAATCGTACTATTACGATTCATTATTCATTTGTTTCCTATTTCGATATTCATCTCTCTGTACTTTGATATACTATTCCGTGTCTCTAAAATGGATCAACTATTCATGCTATTTCGACCACGATGAAAATTCTGTCTTTTCATTCTCCGTCTGGAACGAGACGTTGGCTGTACTGTTGATACTCTTCTGCAAGATTCATTCGACGAATAAAGGAACTCTATCGTTGGATTTTGAATGCATCGCCATGCATTATACTATCGCGTGTCCCTTTACTCGTTGAAGAATCCTCATACTTCATTTTATCGCAATTATCATGTTTCGAACTAGTAATTTTATTTTGGTGGCTGTCGTATTAATAATCGCGTATGTTTTCAGCTTGAGGGTAACGACGTCGAAATATCCAGTACCCAGTATTTGTGCAGCAGACCAAATCACCGACTGGTTTGACTCCCTGGCCGAGTGTTTACACTGGAACGTTCGCAAGAAGCAAAAACACCTGGACGAATTGAGCGATTTGACGCATTCGTCCAGCAACGATACATTAGACTCTTTGGACCGCGATAGCTAGGCCAGGTGAACGAGTCACTATGTCGAAACGAGCAATTTCGGACCAATTTCGATTAATGTTAAGGTCTGATCGCAACAATCAGTGACTCGTTTGAATGCACGATTACTGCCAATTTTTGGACGCGATAGAAACAAGAATTCAACCTGTGTTCTGTTTGTACAGATAGAAGAAAACGAACTGATTAAAACGTAGTCGGTTCAAAAGACTAAATAATTAGCACAAATCGTTCGAGTCACGTTAGTGGTTGTGTTAAAATTCCGGGTGAATTGTTGAAGCGAGATCCTGGATACAATCGAGTACGTGTTCAGGAATAATTGAAGAATTTTAAATAGACTTCGACGAGAAAATGATCGATTTTCTATGAAGATGTTCGTAGAATTGTATCAAGAGACACAGTGCATCGAAACACGCAACGGAAGAGATAAACGAAACTGTGTAGTGTTTTGTCTAACGCATAATGGTGCAGTAATCTTTGTATGTGTTTCAACGATATCTTTCCTTCTTTCGTTATTCGACAAAATATTTCTGTTCACTATTGAAATTAATACGTCGATTACAACGATTAGAAATTAAAAATTGGGTATAAATATGAAAGGGATATTAAAAATTTAAAGCGCTGAAAAATTATTGTATTAAATTCTTAGTCTATGGACAAGAATTAAAATATTTACCAGATACAACAAAAAATTGCATTGAAAATGCAATTTCTATGCCGTCGCGCGCGTCATATTTATTTATTACACATTTGTGATTCCTGATGCATTTCAAACCATCAAGTTAAAAACTGTATCCGCCGTGTGCATATAAATCCTATTCACCTTTTTCAATTAATTGTAATGAACAATGCACACGAGCGTGAATCAACTACATACAAAGAGTCTTATTGTCAACAATTTTGTTTCTTTCAAGCAATGAAAACAATTTAATTCATTTGTTCATTCTGTTGTAAATGTTGATTGTACTTTCCTATTGATGAATTTTGTAATAAAAGTCATTTTTGTACAGAAATGATTGTTTTAACGCGACAAATAACACAGTGAATCACTTAAGAAACATAAAACTGTTAAAATATATGTACTAATAAGCATTTACAAGCTAAGAAAACATAATATTTTAAATTGAAAGAATAAGACAATAATAAGAGCACAGTTAAATATTGGTACACAATAACAAAAAGGATTAAACATGGATTCAGGAATAAATAAGAAAAGAAATATGAAAAAATATGTTGCAACTTAGCGTTTTACATATAATTCTACTAAGTTATATTGCAGTAAATATAACTTAGTTTCTTCGACAAAGAAACATAAAGAACTATGTACATATCATAAAAAGGATCAAGATTAAACTTAAAATGCATTTATTTTTGCGCAACCAGAAAATTAAATATACATTATATACAACGATTGTGTAAAATTTGCAAAAACATTGTCTCTTTCAATAGACAATAACTACATAATATAATAGTAAGTAGCATAACTTTTTGGATGGACCACCAAAGTGTAAGAGCACCACAATAAGTAGTACTTTGTATTTTCGCAACATTTGATAGAGATACAATGAACTTCTGTGCATGGTTCCATCCAGAATATAATAACAAACAGAACCTCAGGAGGTTCTAAATTGTTCGACTAACACGAAACATAAATATCTATCTCTAAACTTTTACATTTGGTTACATCAGTCATGGGTATGACTTGTATACACATGTGTATAATTATCCACGTACATGTGCATACAGGTCAAAATGAATATTCTAATCCATTTATCGATCTACTGATTAATTTTTCACTGGTATGTACATTGTTAAATGATTTAACAGTTAAATGTAAACGATATTAATTTAACTTACATAACTGGAAAATGATGCGCACCGGCAAGCAACACGCAATTCGTCCGCGTCACAAAAAACAATACAAAAACAATATGATACCACTTAATCACTACTCTACTTAAATAACAACGAGATTCGTTTTCTAATTAACAATTAAAACACAGTCTATAAAACGATTTCTAACGCGATCGTACACTTTTTCACAGGAGCGTCAACGAAAGCAATTTGCGCGCGGAAACAATTACACTAATAATGGCGCGTTTTTCGATTGTTTCTGCGCAGTAGGCGTTTGCGCATAAAAACAATAGAGATACGCCACTCATTAACATTTTCTATATAAAATTACAAAAAGGAATTAATTTCGATATATCGATGATACTAATAGATATAATTATGTTTGAACATCAATATAAAAATTATTTTTTTCATTTTCAATGTTAATTAGAAAATACGACTATGATCGGTCTACAAAGGCACGCTGGTCATTGAACATATGTACCTAGACTCTCTATGAAAATATATGTTTCATGGCCTGTACCTTTGAATCGAATCGTCGCGTCGCGTCGCTCGATTCTTGCGAAAATTTTTGTTGTGTTTTTTCCGCGAATAAAGTGCACTTGTTACGATCGTCCGTTTTATTGGCACGTGACTGTTTTTCCTAAGTTTTAATACCTGCAGTTCACGTACGTCTCTGGTTTGTCGTTTACGATGCGAACGTAACGAGCACAGGCTCTGATGAAGAGTGCAGGTACTCGCTGGTCTGTAAAAGAAGAAAAGATAGCTGTAAGTACCATTCATACTAGTTCGTATTGAAAAAAAATGACAATCGCAATCAATCCTTCGTTACTTTGAGATCAGATAAAAGTGTTCGAAATAACCTAAATCGAAAAAGAATTTTTTCAATCGTATTATTAGACAGATAGGTATCGATATCTGATCTCGATATAATTAATTTCATTTCAATTCAAAATTATTATCAAACCACAAAGCATCGGCAAATTAAACGAACTAATCGTACGAAGTAGAACCGCGTTTTAACACTGTCTATTCCATTCATATGTGTTATGTCACACATTGTTAAGTGTCACACGAAAATGCACAAGCAGACAATCCAAATCGGAGTTAGTATTGTTAGCGCACACACTCACATGCCTTCTGATCCGAATCTTGGTCGGCGCAGGACGGTTGTTGAATGTACAAAACTGGCTTCAGCGGTCGGCCATCTTGGTCCTCTACTTGGACTACCAGGCCATGATTACTTCCGTTTCCGTGCGAGTTTCTTGGATTCAATCTCCAAAACCGAAGACCCTGCCTCACATCTAACGCTAGATGAGTACCCCTCGAGGTAAGTGGTGTTACAACAGAATCCATTAAACGTTTTTTCGCTGTAAGAATAAGGAAGTGTTAAAAAAATGGGACTTGAACTTTTCATCGGTGAGACTTAAAAATTCGGTAAAGAAATTTACATCTATGCCTCTTCAAAGACTTGGTGTAATAGTACACCGATATCCTGATCTTTTTTTCATCTTCTTCTTCCTCGTCCAACGTACTTTCAGTCGAAGACGTCAGGTTCTCCTGTGGCAATTTGTATATTCTCAATTTGGCGGCAACCACGTGGTCACCGGAAGTCAGGTTCAGCTGGAAGTGCATGTTCATGGAAAACGGATCCGTCCAGGCATCCTGATCGGTATTCCGTGGTATCTGACCTGTTCGAACGCACCCAACTTTCAAATTCGATTCTCGCAATTATCGCATAGAACCGCGTGAATAATTAAGGAATTAATTCGAGCGACTCACAGGTTGGCGAAAACATGGTCAGTCTTTGGCGTTGAACCTGATTGGTATTGCTGGTGAGGTTAAACCTTCCGGTCAATGCCAAAACTCGCGACTTAATGTCTTCGATGGCCTTTTCACCCTGGCTGCACAGACACATAAAATTTCGTAAGGTAACAGCGATAAAAATCCAAATAGGTATTAAAAAAACACGACACTCGACAGGCTTTCAACGTATTCCGAATAAAATCGTGAGGTTGCGTGCGTGTAATTTGATAGAATATTAGCACAGGATGAGGAAAAGGAATTTAAAAGACAGAGGTGGTAATACAATTTCCATTTGAACTGTAAGAAATTTTCACTTCGAGACGCGTCCTAACTCTTCCGGGTGGCAAGTCAGGCCAATGGACGGTGGTCAGTGACCTACAGAGCCCACAGTGTGGGTCAGAGATATTTATTATACGTTCTAGACACTGACTAGACAGCCGTCGGGGGCATTGGTACCCTGATCACCTCGTCTTCCCGTCTAGAAGCCACTCGCTAATGTATTCTCGGCGCGTCTCGAATCCTGATCCCTTTGGATTAAACAAATTTATTTCTTTACGCTTACGATTCGACGCTGACCACTCGAAGCTAATAATTCAACGCTGTCGAATCAGCGTCGAAGACTAGACGCTAAGAATTCAACGCTGACGAATCGGCGCTAAGAATTCGACTCCGAAGACCAGACGCTGACACACAACATAACAATTCTCCTATTTCCACATAGGTCGTTTGCAAGGGACGATCGGTGATCAGGTGATGTCGCAAGATCGCGTAACGAAAGCACTTTAAATTGTCAGAAAAACATGCGAGGAAAAGAAGAGGTAACATCTCCTCATCGAGTCGAACACACCTACACGAAGTTTTGAGTGCAGCCAATGGCACGTCAACGACCTCGTTGCTAGTGAACGAACAACCGGAAGCGCTTTTCCTAAACAATGAAGCAATCGTAAAGACGATGCGTCTGCAGTAACGAGGAAACGTGAAAGAATTTTGGCCTAGCCTTGTTCAGTTTGTCCCATTTCTCAGAGGCGGAAGGGACAAGAGTGACTAGGCTTCACCAAACGAAATCTTGCCACGAAATCTCTGGACGATCTTGTATTCGATTCTAGACATGCTCGTTAATCTAGCCGCGTCCAAGTCACGCATTCTACGGTGTCTCGTTGCGTACGTGTCACGTCTGTTTGCCGTCTGGGAAAGGGAAGGACTCGGGTGTCTGGAGGCCGTTGCATCATGAGAATGAATCCAGTGATCCTTCCTGAGTACCGTATTAAGAAAATTGACTGCGTTGCACGCCGGTTTTGTAACAGGCTACGAACGAACACATTCGGTCCGGCACATAACACGTGGGAAACTGGATAGGATGATTCACTTAACCGTTCGAGTGCCACGGTTGCTCGATGGAATGCGATTGAAAAGCGACTGCGAATCCTTTCTTCGTGATTTTCTTTTCGTTATTTATTATTCCTCCATGACAAAGGAAATTTTAACATTGTACATTGACGAACGAGTTAGACTTCTTTATGGAAAACGATGATGTAACTAATGCTCCGTGTAACTCGAATTATCACCCTGTATTTATCCCTAGTCTAAGATATCTACGTTGATCCCGAGAGTAAATTGGGACACGCGTTTATCGATAAGTTGAAGAGGTCGAGAGGGAAAAATCCACATAAAGCAAATTGCTGCACGCGGGGGTCGAAAATCAGGAAAACGTTTAGCATATCGTGATTGGCGTTCACCGCTGAACGGTAAAACGATCTGATTGGCGACCGCCAAAAAATGCACGTTGCATCGTCTGGAGGTGAAGTGGGGAACGACTGGCGAAAACTTCCTCCTCTCTCTTCGTTGTGCGCCTCGCATCATCTTCGTCGGCATAGGAAGAGAGACGCATAGACAAGGTCAGCGCATTAAATTGAAATGTGTTACATAACCTCGTAAGAGAGCAGTCCTAACTGCAGTCTGACTAGACACCCGGTGATTACGGGGGTGCTCAACCTAAGCCAACATCGTCGCCATGATTCGTCGTGCATTTACAAAATTCTCATTTTTCTCCTCTCTTTAATTCGGAACTGATCTCTATTACTGTCGTCGAACAACTGAAGCAATTTTTATGAACTGCGCTTTTTAGCACATTCTTTTTTAACTGTAATAGGACATTAGATAGTGACAGGTTCTCGCAGAAGAACCGAAGGAAACGCAGGAGAAGAAATCTCGTTGCAGAACTAGAAGACTGCAAAATGCTCCGTTTCACTTCCCTAATTTCTATCTCATTGGAATCGCAACGTAGTGTTAGGATAAATTTTGGTCCATCGTACAGCCGTTCAGGCGTTCTATGAAGAAACGAAATCAGCTGCGCTCCACGGTAGCAAGACGAAAGAAGATCCATAGATCGGGTATAAGTGCTCGAGGAAGAGTTCGAAACGGTGAACACACCGGAGGAGTACTCTCGGCAGGCTACGCCAGTGCCAACACGAATGCATTTACGCGTCTAGACTGAATAAAATAAAAGAAACGCCTTCGCACCCGCGCGAGGAGGGGCCGAGGTAGAGAAGAAGGAGGGCGATTTAAAAACATAGCTAGGGACCACGGCGGAATTTCCACCGTGCGTCCTTCCTGGCTGCGCTCTGTCCTCGCGCCATGTATTTCGAAAAGATCGTACATCCTATGTTCCTTTGATCGTTTTTCTATTTAATAAATATTTAGATCATTCTCGTGAGTCACGGATCTTAACACGGATCACCTTCGCAACGTAGGCTGCGATTTATTTTTTTAACCGGTTGTGGGATAAGAGGTCGAAGAAGCGGACGTTGGTCAGCGCGCGAACCGTAGAAATTTCACTGGCATTTCAACGATTCTTCGCGGTTTCGTCACGATATTTTTTCGGGCCATCGAGATATTTTTACGTGGCGAGGGCAACGATTCGTCGAGAACGTCTTTGTCGTCAAGTATTCGCGTGCACGAGTTTGTCGCGAGTTACGTGGCTGGAAAACTGCGTTTTCCTCGACGCGATTAAGGGAGCGCAAAAGAACAGGAGTAACACGATGCGTTACCGTTTCTTTTTTTTCGTGCGAACACAACACAGCTCGTTGTTATCGCGAGAAATCTTGTCCCATGCAGTACAGGCAATGAGATAACACGGTGAAGAATGTATTTTGAGATTATGCAAGCCAAGCCAGAAAGAAAGCAGCCGTCCGACCGAGAGGGAAAGGGGTCTACAAAGCAAAAATGTGTAATCAATTCTACATTGGTTTGATCGGCACACCGATTCCCTTACCCATAGTGCCTGTTGCAGCTCTTACCTGTCGAAACTTGAAGTTAGGTTTCCTCTAAAATACATAAAAAGCACATATTGTAGAAACTAATCTGGCGTTTGACGTATTGCAAAGCGGGACACAGAGATGAACAACATTTAATACAACGATAACGATCTTTGGTTTACGGAGAAAAAGATATTCGAAGATCGAAATTGAGCCTGTGCCAAAGTTCTGCCCGTCTGTGGTTTCATCGTTACCAACGAATTACTCGTTAAAAATCAACTTGTTCAGAACGAAAGCAAAGACTCAATAAATCCGTAAAACATCTAGAGTACTTACCCTCGTCGATAGTCGAGAGCCGCTTGCAGATACGTGGACAGATTAGCCAGAGGAAGATTATTGATGGACGCGTTACTGTTGGTCATGAACAGTTTGACAGAATCAGTCGCGTCGTTCTGATACTCCGCAGTGTCGTTCTCGCTGTCTTCCGTGTTCCAGCGTGGTCGGGAGTCGTGACTGGAATCCTCGTAGTCGGACGTTTCGTTTCCCTCCGTGTTCTCGAAATCGAGGGAGTCCACGAATTCGGGTATTACCCTGTAAACGTCATCTTCGACCCACTCGAGACCCTCGTACTCGCTAATCTTCTTGTTTCCAACCACTTTTTCTTCGGTTCGCGAATCGTTGGTCTGAACAGGTACACTCGTTTTTTCTTCGAGGACTTTTTTCGTAGTTTCCTCGGGAACGGTCTTCTCCGTCGTGCTGCTGGTGCCCGGCGTCGAAGATGACGTAGTACTCGAGTAAACGTTGTTGGGATAGTTACCTTTGACGTTGTTCAAATTGTTCAGTTGATAAACCACAGGCAGGCTGTTAGCGTCAGTAACAGTAGAAGATAACGTTGCCGGTGTTGACGTCTGAAAGGAATCGCTGTGGTTCTTCGAAGTGGTGTGCTTCATCGTGGAAGAAACTCGATGCTTGGATGTTTTCGAGCGATTCTTACCGGTTTCGTCGGAACCGGAGCTAGAATCGAACTCGGAATCGTCGTAGCGAATCTTGAAGACCACGTGAGGTTCCATCGCTTTGTCGAAGTCACGATGAAGATTGTTCGCGACCTCCTGTTCCTTGGAAGCTTTGGTGGTCTCTTCGTAGTCGAAGGATGCCGCCTCTGACCAGGATGGCTGGAATTCCACGTTAGAAGGCAAGTTCTCGTAATCGAGGATCGCTTGTCGATTGTACGCCTCGAAGTCAAAGTCTTTGTACACGGATTTATCCGCGTGACGATTCTTTTTACCTTCGCGTTTCGTCTCTCCGAAAACGAGCTTCTTCGAGGCTGAACGATCCATGGAATTCTTGTCCTTGTATTTACTCTTTTTCTCGCCATCCCCGTAGTGCGCTTTCGCCCAAGATTTCGCGCTTTCTTTCTTTCTCGATTCCTCCTCCTTCTTTTTACCCAGTTCCCTCTCGCGGATCTCTAGAATCTCGTCCAAGGTGTAGTTCAAGCTTTTCAATAGCAACATGTCACCCGTGCTCAGATCACCGGTTATGATCTTGAGGATAGCTTTCTCCAGCATCTTCTCCAACCTCCTCTCGCTGAAGGGAATCGATCCTTTGGGATTCTCAAAGTTCAGACTTGTTCTGTCTTGTCCACCTTCCGGCAAAATTACGTTCTCGTCGTACCTTTTCACCTGTTCCCCCTTCTTTCTGTTATCCACGTGGACGCCGCGATGGTGATGGTGACACCAACCACTGTTCACGAGAGAAGCTGCTAAAAGGAACGCGACCAACCCGACGAACCCCATCCTAACGAACTATGAACGTTACCTTCGATTTTCTTCGAGTCTGTTCCCGGAAAGTATCACACGATCGATCAGTTTTTCTGTCAAGATTCAGCGACAGCAAAAATGGTATGCACGGACGCACTGTTATCGGTCGGTCGAGTTCTCCATTCTTCGCGTCGAACGTCTCGCACTGAACCCCCTTAACGATACCCGATTAAAAGTGCGTTTTTTCTGAAGCCGCGACGAGCGAGCGACGATGGCAAATCAGAAGGTAAATGACGAGACGACGACGCGCGTGTACGAACAAGTGTCGAAGAAACTGATGTCTGGTCCGGTGATCAGACAGCGGTCGCGGACTAGTCTAATCGCATCAGGAAGGCGCGATATATGTAAGTGGGGAAAGAAGTTCGTGGCATGCGTGTGCACAGGCTGAGCAGTAAGTATCAACTGAGCGGAGCTGGCCTGCTCACGGGCATAATTCTGTCTGTCTACTCACTAATTCCGAGACAAGCACGAAGCCGCGAGAGGAGACGCGCCGGTGTTACTACGATCGCTCCTTTTTTTTCTTTTCTTTTCGTTTCGTTTCTTTTACTCTCCTCTCCTCTCCTCGGCGTTTCTTCTTCCTTTCTCTTTCTCTCCGTTGCTCTTGCTCCA